AAATCCAAATTTTCTGAGTTTGAAACTTAACATGACATAAATTCTTAAGTTTCAGAAAATTTGTTTGCTTTTAAAAAGCTTAAAATTAGCCCTGGCTGGTATGGTTCAGTGGACTGAGTGTTGGCCTGCAAATGGAAAGTTTGCTGGTTCAATTCTCAGTCAGGGCACATACCTGGGTTGCAGGCCAGGTCCCTGGTTGCAGGGTGTGTGAGAGGCAACCAATCAATGTATCTCTCACACACAGATGTTTCTCTCCTTCTCTTTCTCCCTTCCCCTCTCTCTAAAAAGTAAATAAATAAAATCTTTTAAAAAAATAATAATGGGTCCTGGCTGGTGTGGCTCAGTGGATTGAGCCTGCAAACCAAACAGCTGCTGGTTTGATTCCCAGTCAGGGCACATGCCTGGGTTGCGGGGCTAGAACCCCGGTGGGGGATGCATGAGAGGCAACCACACATTGATGTTTCTCTCCCTCTCTTTCTCCTTCCCTTCCCTTCTCTCTAAAAATAAATAAGTAAAATCTTTTTTTTTTAAAAAAAAGGGAATTTCTCTTAATGAAGTACAAAAGAATAGCTGAAGTGGAAAATTGTAAATTATGTACCTTCCCTTTATCGACCTCCAAACGTTTGCTAAGCCTAGAATGGCCTCTTTTAAGTAAGTTTACTCCTATCTATTATACACAAAAATAAAATCAAAGTCACATATAAAGAGGGAAAAAGAAAAAGTTATTGACACAACTTCCATTATAAACTCTAACATACTAAGGAAGATACATTTAGAAACAGTTAACAACTTCTTTGTTCTTAGAAAAACACAGCAAGATCTTTTAGTCATGGGAAATTACAGGTAATACATGATACTTAATCATGTATTTGTTTTTTGACACTGGTGTGAAACATGATAATTGTAGCATATCTATTTTAGCAGCAATTGAAATATTAATTAGCCTCAGAATTTGGTAGCAGAATAGTATAGAAAGACTGTTCTACTTATAGATGTTTATACAATTTGTGAGTTGTTGCTAGTAAATGAAATTATTTAATTCATATACTATACTATTTAGAAAAAATATACATATATAAGTATATAGCTAATTGCAACATTATTTTATGTTAATACATTTTATATTTTGATTATTGGTAGAGCTATAATTAACAGCTTAAATAAAAATAGTTCCTCCACAAGAAATAATTTAAAGGAATTACACATTCAGTGACTTGCATAATGATAAACTGGACAAGTTAGAAATGTTTCTTATTTTAATTTTATTTTATTAATATAAATAACAACTTAAATAAAATTAGCAAATATTAAATATTTAAGTATCAAAGACATTTTACCATAAACACAATACTTTAAAAATAACAATACTTATTTCTCAATTTTGTGCACCTTGAAGAAAGCAGTGATCTTAGAATGCCTCCAAGTATTTTTTTTTAATTTAAAAGGCTTTCAAGATTCAAAATAAGCTTTTTTTTTTTAAGTCTAGTTACTTGAGGAATTTCCTGTAGTTATATTTGCTCCCTTGATGAAAAAGAAAATGTGTTCTTAGTCCCTTGGCACTTTTTTTTAACCCAGGGAAGACTGTCCCATACAACTATCTTTGAGGTCATCTTTCCCGTTTTAGTGATGTCTCAATAAACCATGGAGCCTTGGTCCACAGCCTGATTTCTTATAGGTATCACAGCTACCTGCTGGGGTGTTGGTAAAGAAGTTACATTGCTAGTAAGGTATCCAATAACATAAGAGGCTTTTGTAGCAGCTTTGTGTTTTTACACATCGCAATATTTATTGACATAAAAATCTGTAATCATATAATTCAGTGCTATTCACTTAAAGAGGTAAACTCGAGTAATAACCACACAAAGAGGCTAATCTTTGTTTTTTATTGACCTAAGATGGTTCCTCCACTGTACCTTGTGCTGAGCACCCACACTTGCTCTAATCTCCAAAGGCAAATAATTATCCTGGCAAAATATCTTTGTTATTAACAGAACAACTGGAAGCATAAAATGAGTCACCTGAAAATGGAAAAGGTGCCTATTGTTCATGCTATGGAGAGAAGCCTTGAACTCTTAAATGCCTGAAAGGTTTCCCAAATAATTTACTGCCTGCATTATGAAAATGATAAAGTTGAGGAGTGAGAAGGGCATGAGAAGGAATTACCCAAGAAAGAATAGAAGTTTTATGGTTTCATAAGGTACAGAGTATTTATCACTAGACATAAACTTTAAATTAGTTTCTAAGAAAAGAAGCATCATTTGTTGGTTATTAGTATTATTATGGTTTCGCGTGTGTGTGTATGTGTGTGTGTGTGTGTGTGTGTTTAGAAACAATAGTAAAGATAAATTAACGATGTATCATTGAGATTTTGGGGGTTTGCTTTCTCGTGGAAGTAAAAATCATCCTACAAATCAAAGTCATAGGAGACTAAGGAAATCACTATCAAAAGGAATAAAAGAGCTATAAGCCAAGGTTAATCTTCTAATTCAGAAAAAGGTACAGGATAAATGATCTGACCTGCTAGCAATTTACATCATTGTTATTATAAGTGTTCTAGAGTTAATTAGAAGTGGGCAGTCTTCTAATGTTTTCAGGCTATTCATTTTGCAAATGTTCCTTTTTTGTGGCACTGTGATTGCATAAATCAGCACTTAAACATCAATGTTAATGATAATATATGCTTTTGCAAGTTAATCTGACACTTTAAAATTTGGTATCATATTGTATTCCTAATGACAAATGTATTCAGCAAAAAACTGGACTGCTGAATTGAGGAAACTGCACATTTAGTCTCAAATGTTATTTTATCTATTAATAATTGAGTGAAAAAATTACAGTTTACTTTTTATTGGTAGCAAGATGGTATCATTTATCTACTGTACCCAAAGAATGAGTCAGATTTTTTTATGTTCCAAATTTCTAGGGAAGGTGAGATAATAATCTCACAATTATCAAGAATGCAATAATGTTTTTAAAAATTTACAGCAGCAGTCATGTCAGTTCAACTGTGTGATGTGATTCAATATCCAGGTCAAAAATCTTTTAAATTAAACCATTTTTCCTTTGTGAAGTTTCTGAAAATAACTGCCGTAGAGATTTGGATAATTCAAGGAATGCAAGGAAACTTCGCAATGCCAAGTTGCTTCTCTAAGAGAATGAAACAATATCTACTTAGTAAAATATTTAAAATATTCATTACTAATATTAAAATTTTAAGTGTTTTTCTTCATTTTTCTTTTTTCCCCTACAAATAATCTAATGGAGTATATTCTTGATTTGGAATCACCAGTGTTTTCTAGGTGGATTAGGTTTTTAAAGGAATGTATGAGAAAAAGGGTGAGAATGAAAATAAAAAGCTAATTAAGGTGTTGTTTTGTTCTCTGGTATATGTCAACTTTTAATCTTCATAATTTAGTTGTGAATTGGAAGGAAGAAAATGAAACTGAGAGGAAGAAAATGAAACCAGGATAAAAGCAAGGACTCTGTTTTTTGCATAAATATGCAAATGCTATAAACTTTGGAGAAACAATTCCTGTCACAGATGGAATTATAATTGGACAATCCATCAAAGAAAGGCAGTTAATTTCTGACCCTCCGTAAAAGAAGGTTAAATGCTTATGCTACTGAAATATAGCAAAATCTTGTTAACACAGTTTATATTTTCTCTGCAATTTTCACTCTTCCTCATTCTTATTAAATCTGTTACTGAGCCCCTCTTGCCAAATATTTGAGAATTTCCCATAATTTATACCCTACTTTTGTGGGTAGTTTCTGTATCTTCTAATGTTTCTTCCCTTTATCAGCTCATGAGGTGAGTTAAATCAAGAGCTTAGGAAAAGAAAGCCAGCCTCCAAAAAGTTGAGTGGGAAGGGGTATGTCTTTAGCAGAAGTAAAATGATCAAACCCAAGGAGAAGAAAATGAGAGATCCAGGAGGGCTCCAGCATTATTTAAGCCCCCACTAGGCACTATTATTTTTTGCTTTAATAGTAAAAGTGGTGGTGGCAGATGTCAGTCAGACTGAAACAGTCCTGGAGCTTCTTGGAATTCATTCACTTGAGTGAAGAGAAACCCCACTCACAGGCTCCTCTAAATATCCACTCTTCCAGTTTCCCTCAAGTTCTATTCTTTAAGATAGGGAGAAAAGCTTCAGGAAGAAGTGCAAATTATTTATGCATATTGTTCTGGCAGCAGAATAGGTATTTTTCTCTCATATTTCTCCTTATTTGCAACAGTTCAATCCCCAGGAAATAAAAGATGATTTGTATTAAAACAATATATACCCTCTCTATTGATAGGTTTTTGTATTATTTGTCTTAAAGAAGGAAAGATATATTTGTGTATGTGTATGTACATACATATATGAGTATGTATATACACATACGCACACATATATATGAATTTGTACATACACACACACACGTGTATATATATATATATGAATGCGTATATACTCATATACACATACTTCCTTTGGTTTTTTATCTGTCAGTTCATACAAAATGTGTATGAACCATAGGCCAAGAAGGTGGTAAAAATGTGATTCATATCTGCAAATTCCAAAACATCATATTGCAAACCTTCACAAAACATTCTAGGCTATGTCTACACAACCTAAGCAAAGTGAAGAGATACATTCTGTTTAATGAATTTGGGTCTGCTCAATTATAAAACAAAATTTTCTCTTGTTTCAAAGATCCACACATGCAAGTTGACTGGTCCCAGATTCTTAGACACTAATGTTCCATTTATTTTGGTGTAAGGTTTACCAATATCTGGAGACGCACCAACTTGTCTTTCAGAGAAATCTCAATATATTCTTCAGTTTGTTTGTAATTTTTATATTAATAGCAGTCTAAGCAGTTGCCACTAAAATTCTATGCAACTTTAGAATTACTCAGGAGATAAAAAGTCCCTTGGATGCTATTCTTTGTAGAAAAGTAGCATTCTTCTAATTGTTAGTTCAGTGAGGTAGTCTCTAAATATAAGGCTTTCTGAGTATTTAGGTAGAGGCAGACTCCACGGTCAAATACAGGACCTCCTTATGGAAGTTAGCCTGAGCATGCACAAGATGGAACAAATTCAAAAAGTTTCTGTCCTCTTCATCATGGTCTCCTATATGCCATACACAGGAATGAACAGTAGGGGAAAAAAATGACAGTTAAGTTTTAAAATATATGATCTATTTAAAACATAAGATGTTCCAATTCTTCCTAATAATATGTAACAGAAGACTAGTTAGTGATCTTTAACTAAGTCAGATGTTAACCACTGAAATAATGGAATTCTATAAGAGCGCTGAATTAGAAGTCATAAGAAAAGGATGCTGGTGCATGTTTTATTGTTTCTAACTTTAAGACCTAGGGCAAGTCAGATAATTTTTCTAAGCTTTAGTTTTCTCATCTGTAAAACAGGATTATCATGTTGGATACCTAATAAAACTGTATAAAATATATATTAAAACTATATAAATATAGGATATCATTATTATGATTATGACAGTTGATGAATGAGCAATTAAACATTTTTTGCTCTGCAAAACTGAAATTGGTTCCTTTAAGACTGGTTCCTTTAAAACTGAATTGGTTCCTTTGTTTTAACTTTGTTAAAACAAAGTTAAACTCTTTAGCTTTGTTTTCCACTAAAACCAATACACAATTTAAAAAGTGACAAAACCAGGAACTAAATATATCTCATGGAAAAACAAACAAAAAAAGTCTACTCTTTCTATTTTCAGTTTAGAAATAAAAGTCTACATAGAATTATTCCTGTCTTAAGTGGAGACTAGAATGTATTTTATTCACACCTGTGTACCATCTACATGCATACTCACCTGACATAACTGACTGCAGCATTTCCATTATAATACATGCAAATGCATTCGCCACATTCTGCAGGAAGTTATGTTTTTCCACTGAAGTATTAAAGATTTTACAGAGTCTTTGCATTATTTTAACTGTCCAATCCATGCAGTATAGTTCTTTCTCGCACACCTGATTTAGACATACAAAGGATTATGGTTAACCTTTATGCAAAGAAAGCTACAGAATTTGAAAATTGTATTAACTATGATGGTTTATGATTTTACATAATTTATTACACATGACATTATATTGAATCTATAAGTGAGAAATGTTTTATATCCAACACTCCTTTGCTTTCAAGTGGTACAATTTTAGTGGAAACTATATGACTTAAATAAAAATCTGGTTTACAATTATCATAGAATATTATTTTTTAATTTATTTTTCAATTATAGTTTACATTCAATATTATTCTGTATTAGTTTCAGATGTTCATTATAGTAGTTAGAAAATCATATACTTTAGAGTGTTCCCTCTGATGTTTCAAGTAGTTACCTGGCCCCATACATAGCTATCATGATACCATTGACTATATTCTCTATGCTGTCATCTACATCTCTATGACTGTTCTGTAACTACAAATTTGTACTTGTTAATCCCTTTCCCTTTTTCACCCAGACCCCTAGCCCTCTCCCCTCTGACAACTGTCAGTCTGTCCTCTGTATTTTATCACAGAATATTAATAATGTAAGAACTAATACTGAAAACAATGATTAAACATATGAAAAATAAGACTTTGGCTCATTCACTCATTTAACAGATATTTACTGAGAACACGCTAAGAGCTAGAAATACAATGGTAACCCATAAAGACAGTGTTTCTATTTTCAGGAAGTCCACTAAGGTAACAGAAAAACAAGAAACTTCAATAGGCAAGAGAATTTTACAGTATTACCAACTTTCCATCTTGAGAGTTATAAGAAAAAATGTCTCTATTATTTAAAAGATAAATATTTAAAGGAAAGACTACATGTTAATAGTTAAATCTGAAAAGAAAAAGGTTTACTAACATTTTAAATGGCCAATTGAGCTAACATAACCAATTAATATACAGCATGAAAATAAACTTTATAGTAGTGTAACTAAATAATGTTAATCTGACAGGAAAAATGTATTGACTACTTATGTGTAAGGCATGGAACAAGGCATTATGAAAGAAGCAAGTGACACAGTCCTGGATTTCAAAAAATTTGCCATCTGTTTTGGGAGGTGACTTACTCCACATATAAAATGGCTTAAGAACACTAATAGTAAATGAAGATAAAGAGAAGACAAATCTGAGGCAATTCAGAGAAAATTAATGATCATAGTTGAGATGGTAATCAGGGAACAATTTCTAGAGAAGGCTTCTTCATGTCTAGCAACTCCTCTCCATTCTCTTTCCTATAGTGCTGCCTAAGTGACCTTTTAAAAACTTGAAACTGATCATGTCTCTCCTTTCCTAAAACTTTTCAGCAGCTCCCTAATAGAGAATCTGTTCAAGACCCACAAATAGTCTATGTAAGGCCCTTCATTACCGAGCCGCTCCCTTTCTGTCTAACCTCACCTCCTTTTCCTCTTCTGCACATTTTTCCCTTCAGAAATAATACTGAGCTTCTTATAGTCCTGTGAAGATAGCCTGAAACTCCATTTCTCTGTTTCTCTTTTTTTTGGAGGAAATCTACTTAATTATTAAAATATATATTTATATTGAAAATACAATTAATTAAGTAGTTTATTCACATTTTAAAAAGAGCCACAGAAATTTCATTCATGTTTTAAGTAGTTGAGTTGGTAATGATCCTGCCTCCATTTCATAGGAAATGGATTACAGTCAGTTATTCCTCACAACAGCCAACTGGAAGATTATTTCATTGCTTTTGAGGCATTGGTTGAACTGGCACCTATGATGGTAGCAAAATAAGTGATTTGCCTTGTCTATCTGCCTGGAGGACTTCTATTCATTTTTTAAATGAATTGGGGTTGGGAAAACCCTCTTTGTGTTCTTCACTCACCCAATATTGGCTCCTTTTCTGCTACCTTTGTTTGCATTTTTTGTACATATGTTTTTACACTTATCTCACTGAATTTATTTATATATACCTTGGTATCTCTTAAAAGACTATAAGCAGCTTTTGGTCCAGAGACTTGTCCTATTAATTTCCATAGTCCTAGAATCTCACACAATGTATGGCCCAGAATAAAAACTCAATTTGTGTTAAATGAATAAATATTAAAAATATTTCAAAATATTTTGTTTTGAAAAACATTTTAACTATAAAAAGTAGAGAAAATAGTATAATGAACCCCCCTGTACCCACTGTCCAGCTTACCAATCTTGCTTCACCTTCATCTCCCTTCACTACCACATCCTCTCTCTGCTTGCTCATTGATTATTCTGAAGCAAATCAAATGGAGTACTTTATTTTTTAACAGAATTTTTTTAAAAAAAGAATATAACTTGGGCCCTGACAGGGGAGCTCAGTTGGTTAGAACATTGTCCTGATACACCACGGTTGTGGGTTCAATCCCCTATCAGGGCACATACAATAATCAACCAATGAATGCATAAGTAAGTGGAACAACAAAATCAATGTCTCTCTCTCAAATTAATTTTTTAAATTAAATAAAAATAAAAAGAATATAACTTGGCAGAGCTGTATAATGACAATGTAAACATGAAGCAGGGAAGGGTAATACAGGAATAATTCCAAATATGATAGTTTATTACATATATTTCAAAATTTTACAAGTATATATAAAATATATACTTATATCCTTACTCTTTCAAAATGTTTGGTACATATTTCAGTTCCTTCAGGACAGCTCCCTGGCATGTCAACTAAAATGTTAAACAACTTGTTAAAGAAAAACTGATTTTTTACTTACCAAAGCCAAAAAGACTATCAGTCTTGCTAGTTCAATAGTCCGTCCATTCACAGCTTTACTAGCCATGAAAGTAAAACAGATGTCGTTCCCACTTAGGATTAGGAGACGTGCATTATTTTCTAGAAGCCACTCACGAGGAACCACTTTTATTGGAGAAAGAACAGTTTTTTTAATGTGAAATTACACAACAGCTAGAGTAAACATCATTAATTACATGCACTATTATTCATTTCATTGGAAATACAATTAGTGTCAAGGGAAAAGATCAGAAAAATGTTTTAGTTTTTCAGTTACAGCGTTTAACTGGAGACAGAGATTACTGCCATGTCATGGCAGGTCTTACAAATGTACTAGAAATTTTTAAAAGCATTTTTCCCACACATAGATCGACAGGAAAGGTGGCCTAATCCTCTGAAAGGAAAGAAATCTTGAAAACTTCAGAATCTCAAGGATTATACATAAATGGGAAAAATCGTTTCACATTTGCCATACCATTAGGAGAGGGTTTCTTCTTACGAAAACTAGGAGGGTGTTTCTGAGAACTTACAAAATGGGAGTAATTGTTAAGGTTTCAAATAATAATAGTAATAAATATATATTTATAACACAATTGAAGGAAAGTAATTACGTGTGTTCTCTTCAAACATTGCCAAATTCTTTAAATATTTTAGAACATTTAATGATTTCAGTTAGGCAAGTCATCTGTTACCTATAATTACCCTTATAATTTTATAACTATATTATAATAATAAATTTGTTACTCAGTGAGATAAATATATTATTTTACCTGATAGTTCATCTATAAGGCTGATCACATCATCTGCTGTCCACTCTTTGATGCCTGTGTCATATAGTAATTTAATGGCATCAGCCAAACCTTTCAGACTAGATTCATCTGTAGGTTCTTCTATCATTTTCTGCCAAACCACTTGTCCTAAATGATAATTGAAACAAAAAAATAAGTTATGACAGAATAGTTGGATTTGTGATAAAGACTTCGTGGATTGTTTAAAAAGGAAATTGGATTGCATAATGGAATTCATTACTTATATATGCTACTTTTATAATGAAAGTCAATTTTGATAACAATATGAATTTGAATGTCTCTGACTGATATGATGAAGCACAGCAACAATAGCTAAATGAAGAAAAAGCAGTTTCACCAAGCAGTGCTTCTAGTTCAAAGATAATGCTATCCCTATAAGAGACATTAGAATAAACAATTAATGTAATCTTACTGAAATAAAATAAAACCTGAAAAAGAGAACATGCTATATTTGAGAATCTTCCAAACATTTATATCAAAACAGATTAATCCACTTAATTTTTGATTATTTACCTATGATCAGTTCTCTTTGTGAATTACACAACAAAATTTAATCCCAGATTGGCTTCTTGCTGCTATTCAACATACTTTAAACTGCTTACCACCTGATATGAGGCAATGTGAACTAAAGAACTGTATGATAATTTTAACATTAATCTAAACTTCATTAGAAAGGCAAAAAATTGCAAAAAAAATCATATTATGCACCTCAAATTAATTAAATCATAAAGTCCAATTACTACTTTGATTTACTGGCACTATTATTCCCCTACAGAAGTGAATATAATCTTAAATTAAGATAATGTTTAAAAATGAAATGCAGCTATTTTAGGTAAACCAGACATGATAGGAATATATTTGGTAATGGCCTTCAGGGAACAATTTGTGTCTTGAAGCTTAAGTTATGCACAAGTTAATGTAGTATAAATCTATGAAATCAGGAAACCATTTAGGTATTAGGAATAATGAAACTGAGTAGATACAAAAAGATATGCTTCCTAAAGTAAAACTAATTAACCAGTTTTGTAACATATGTTGCTAAAGAATAGATGCTCACCATCTTGAGGAGATATTGGTCCAAAGATGATATACAGTAATCTTGCCTGATTCACCATTGGCCATGGTTTTAATATACATGTCAACCAAAAAGCAGAATCACTTCTATGTGTCCAATGATCAAGCAGAACATTCCTACAGAACAGTCTGATCCTTAACTCCAGTTTTCGGGCATTTCCTATGGAGACAAAAGACTTGTAAATCATTCTTCTTAGAAAGCTTGATGTGCATAACGGATAGGTCAAGGACATACATCATTAATATACGTTATATTGAAAGCATTACTTTATTTTCCTCTGAAGAAGTTTTAGATTATCAAGGAATTATTTTTAAACAGCTTTATTGAAATATAATTTATATACCATTCAATTTGCCCATTTAAAGTGTACAATTCAATGGTTTTTAGTATATTCACAGATATGTACAACTATCACCAAATAACTTTTAGAACACTTGATTGCCTCAAAAAGAAATCCAGCTCTTTTAGCTGTCACTCCCCTATCCCTCCGTACTCTACCACCCGAGCCCTAAGCAACGAATAATCTATTTTCTATCTCTACAGATTTCCCTATTCTAGAATTTTATATGAATGAAATCATATAGTATGTGGCTTTCTCTCCCTTAGCTAATGTTTTCAAGGTTCATCCATGTATTTGGCACATATCAGTACTTCATTCATTTTTATGGCTAAATAATACTCCATTGTAGACATACCACATTTTGCTTATCCATTCACCCACTGATGGACACGTAGGTTGTTTCTACCTTTTGGTTATTCTGAATAATGCTGCTATTAACATTCATGTACAAGTTTCTGTGTGGACATGTGTTTTCATTTTTCTTGGGGCTATACATAGGAGTGAAATTGCTGGGTCATATGGTAACTCTATATTTAAGCATTTGAAGAACCTGCTAGACTGTTTTCTAAAGTGGCTGAACAATTTTACATTTCCACCAGAAACGTATGAGGGTTCCAATTTCTTTACACTCTCAACAACACTTGTTTTCTGACTTTTTGATTCTAGTCATCCTAGTGGGTATCAAGTGGTATTTTGTGTGTTTTCTTTTAACAGCATTATTGAAATATGTATAATTTACATACCATACAATTTTATCCACTTAAAGCATATAATTCAATAGTTTTTATTATATTGTATTACTGTTTTTAAAAAATTGTGGTAAAATGCATATAATATAAAATTTTAAACCATTTTTAAAGTGTAGAGTTCAGTGGCATCAATTACATTCACAATGTTGTTCAATCATCACCACTATTTCTAAAACTTATCATCACTTCAAATAGAAATTCTGTAACCATTATGCAATAAGGCTCCCTTTCCCCATTTCCTGATAATCTCCAATCTACTTTCTGTTTTTATGAATTTGCCTGTTCTAGGTACCTCATATAAGTGGAATTATACAGTATTTGTCCTTTTGTGTCTGACTTATTTCACTTAGCATGATGATTTCAAAGTGCATTCATATTGCAGCATGTGTCAAAACGTCACTCCTTATGGCTGAATAATATTCCATTGTTTGTGTGTACCACATTTTGTTTATTTATTCATCCGTTGATGAACCCTTGGCTGTTTCCTCTTTTTAGCTATTGTGAATAATGCTGCAAAGAGCATTGGCATACAAAAATCTGTCCAAGTCCTTGCTCTCAGTTCCCTTAGGTATACATTTAGGAGTGGAATTGCTGGGCCATATGATAATTCTATGTTTAACTTTTTAAGGAACAGCCAAACTTTTCTATAGGGCAGCACCATTTTAAACTTTTATACCATTTATGGTCTACCTATTTGTAGGTAAGACAAGTGTAAATGGGAAGTCAATCAATTATCTAAGGACATATAATGTAAGTATCCTCTGATGTGTTAAGCCAAGGAACACAGAAGTTTAGAAGAGAGATTACTGCAGGTCTGGGGAAATCAGGAAAGTCTTTACAGAGCAGGGCCGGCAAATTGGTCTTAAAGGATAAGAAGGAAACATGGTATCTCAGGAAAAAAAGAGAATGAAAAAAAGGCATGAGGTAGAAATGTGTAATAGATGTCTGAGACACAATGAATAGAGCAATATGCCTACTTTATATCATACTGATACAGAGAATAATGGGCAATAAATTTTTAAAAGTAGGTTAGGATTAGAATGTGAAGACCAGTATATATCAGGGAGTTAATACAGTTTTTGCTCAAGGGAGCAACATGATAAATTAATTTTGTTAGTGTTTCATTTGGCTTCCAAATAAGCCTTTTTAGTCCATAATTTGTTTTATAATAAAATATTTCAAGCTGACAGAAAAGCAGAATACTATAACAAATGCTGTGTACCAATTGCCTAGCTTTGTCAAAACTACTTTTTGCTATACTTGCTTCAGATTTTTAAAGTAAATAAAACATTACTGATACAGTTTGGATTGGATAAGGAACACCCACATTACAAAAGATAATCTGCTTTACTCAAAGTCTACCGATTTGACTGTTAACCTCATCTAAAAATTAACTTCAGAAAAACATCTAGAATAATGTTTGGCCAAATATCTGTATATAATGGCCTACTCAACTTGATATACAAAATCACCTACTACATCTCTTAACTTTATTTCTATACTTTCAAACATATGTATGTAACTATAAAAATATTTTTCATGTTTTTAATATGTTTATAAATGGTTTCATATTGAAAGTATCAGTTGGTAATCTTTTCTCTCAAATTATATTTTGATATTTACCTATATTAACACATAGGTCTCTTAGTTCATTTGTTTTAATTACTAAGAGTTTTAATTATATGACTATGTCACAATTCATTTAACCATTCTCCTGACAATGGGCATTTAGGTTGTTTTGCTTTTCATGGTTACATGCTGCAATATTCATTCTTATACATGTCTCCTTGTGCAAACTGTGAGAGTTTTTCAGAGTGAAACTGCTGGAATGTAGAGTCTCATAATTTTTAAAATATGAAATATTTCAGGTATATACAAAGGTTTAAAGAATACTATCATGAACACTTTTTATCCTCCACCCATCTTAAGGAATAAAATATTATTAATACAGTCGAAGCCCTCTGAGTACCCCTCTTTCTCTAATTACATGCCACTTGAGCTTCCTTATCCAATTCAGTGTTTATCACTCCATTTCTTTGTTCTTTTACTATAAATGAATACCACAATTTATTTTTAAATACACTTTGAATTGTGCTTTTTTTGTTTTATTATTGTATCATGTTATTTCTGAATTGTAGTTCTTTTTTTCTCTGTATAATGTATACTATGCATATAAACTTATTAATTTCTTTTTATTAGAAGGAGTAACTTATTCTTGGCAGAAGTTAGGGCAACCACAAACATACACATAACACAGAAGGAGATATGAGCAAGACTAGCTAATAAGAAATAATATATTAGGAAAAGGAGAGACAAGAGCAAGCATGACTTATAGTTCTTTACCTGGTTTGCTGAAGACAGTGGTCTGCACCTTGCGGGAGAGACTAGTCAGCTCACATAAGAAGTTAAAAACACGATGGCACTCAAGTTCATCCCAACCTGCTGTTAAGATCTGAGGATAATAAAATAAAGGAAACAATGCAGATGTTCATACCATCAGATCAAAACATAAGTCAGTATTGCCTCATAAGCACATAACTGCTGTAGCACATGATCCAGGTGATGTATAATTTTTATCCACTATGGAATTGTTAAAATTAATAAGTAATTTTACATAAACAAAATATAGAAATGCTCCAAATTAAATTTCTTTTTCTTTTAAAGGGAGTATGTTTTCAGAGAACTTCCAAATTCTACTAAACCCTGAACTCTGACAGTATGAGGAAAAATAACGAAGGCCCCAAACCTTAGAACATAGGTTTAGACATCTGACTCCCATGCATACTGTGGCTTAGTTTTAGACTACACTATCCTTTATGATATTGCTTATAAATGATAAAGATTTCACTTAATGTGACAATTTATAAGCATTTATGACATTTGGATGTGAATAAGCAGAAAAATTTTATTAGGAAAAAAATTAATAATTATTTTTGAGTAAACCCAAATGTAGAGTTAAACATATATGAAAAAGAAATTCAAATGGTATATCATTATACAACTGACCCTTGAACAACACAGGTTTGAACTGTGCAGGTCCACCTTTATGCAGATTTTATTTTCAATGAATATGTGTGTACTGTTTTCAGTGTGAGGTTGGGAGGACACAGATGTGGAGGGCTGACTGCATTGACCTAAGCCATTTTATATAGGGGACTTGACCATCCATGGATTTTGGTATCCATGTGTGATCCTGGAACCAATCCCCCTTGAATACCAATAGCCAACTTAAATTTGGGGGGAGTCAAAAGTTATACATAGATTTTGGACTGTGTAGGATGGCACCTCTAACCCCCGTGTTGTTCAAGGGTCAACTGTAATTAGAATTGGAAAAAGTTGATCAATCACAAAAATTTTTCTTAAAATAGTTGACCTGGATTTCAGTAGTAAAAAATCAAGCTTATTATCTCCGGAAGGACATACAAGAAACTGCTAACATCGGTTAATTCTGTTGAAGGGCGATCAGTGAACAAGGAACAGGCCTTGGAGGGAGACGTACTTTTCGCTTTATATCATTTTGTACCTTTTGAATTTCATATAAATACATGTGTTTATATTACCTGTCCAAGACAGATTTTTTCATTTCTTTGGGACAGGCTGGTAGGCTGGGATATATGCAAGATTGATGTAAGACTGTTGTAAACCTCATAAGGTTGTTGTAAGTTTTAAATAAGCTAGTACATGTACATTGCTTAGAATAGTATAATATATTAATAATATACTGTTAATATTTAATAACATTGAATAACAAAGAAGATTATAGTATTATAATACCAATATTATATATACCAGAGAGAAATCCAAGAAGAAAATTTGAGGTAGCAAACATTATTAGATTAACACATTCTCAAATCTTTACAATTTTATTTTGTTTTTTTAGAGTATTATTTTTTAACCCATTGAATTATACACTGCATGCTCTATAACACATTATATAACATTACATGTCAACAGTTCCAAAACATTCTTTTTCTTCTTTCATTAAAAAAAATGTACCTGTAAAAACATGCCATAACATGATAATCCTAAACATTGCATAGGAGCTGCACAGCCATTGAATTTAAAACAGGAAACCTGTAAGAGAACAATTATTAATTCATCCTTTTCAGTGGAACTGTACAATGATTTGACATTCAAATTTAATGGAAATATGTAAGCATTTGTTCCGTATTAACTGAAAATAACTAAAACGTTAGGTAACTAATTAGCACTGTTATAGAGGTAGAGATTACAAAAGATAAAATACAGGCCCTGACTGGGGTCTCTGAGTGGACTGAATGCCGGTCAGCCTGTGAAGTGAAAAGTCTGGGGTTCAATTCTCTATCAGGGCACATACCTGGGTTGCAAGATAAGTACCCAGTTGGGGGGTGTGCTAGAAGCAACCAATCATTGTTTCTCTTGCTCATTGATGTTTCTCTCCCTCTCTTTCTCCCTCCCTCCCCCTCTCTCTGAAAATAAATAAATAAAATCTTTATAAAGAAAGAAATAAAAAACAAAGTCTGCCTCCAAGGAACTCATAATTTATTTAGGAGAATAAGATATACACATGTGAAGTTATTTTGATAATTCAGGTTAGAATATGTATAAATGATAAAATGACAAAATATTATATCAGATACTATGAAAGCAGGGAAATGATAAATTTGGGGACGATTTTAAAAACTTATGAAGGATGTGAAACAAGCAACGTCTTAAAGTAGGATTCAGATATACAACAAGTGGAAAGGATTGGTGAGAGAAACAATAAGGGCAAAATTGCATAGGGGTATGAATAAAAATGTTTATTTGGGAAGAAAGATACAACCAACTTAACTAGGCTTAACTAGGTTGCATTGTTAGAACCTAAATACCAGCTATGGACTTTGGACTTTATCTTGCTGAAACTGAGTAGCCACTGGAAGATTTTTTTTAAGCAAGAAAATTAACTTGATGAAAGTGATGCTTTAGGAAGAATAACCTTGATTCAATGTGCAGAATGTCTGGGGACTGAAGAAACTGGATGGCAGAAAGATCATCTGGGAAGCTGCTACAATAATATAGACCTCAATTTAATACAAATATTGAGATGAAAAAAGCCAGTAGATCAGATATAGTTTGCATGCTACTGAGTGTGGAACTGAACCATCAGCACTGCATATACGTTTGGGTTTGTATAGTAAAACTCATTTTCTTACATAGAAATTATGCCCAACACATTGATACACATATTCAAATCATAAATTATCATAAAAGGGCTGTCATGTTATATATTGCAACATTTTATGTTTTTGTATATTTAAACAGTAATATTTTAACATTCAGAAATTATTTCATTTTAATCAAACATCTAAATCACCACTTTAAAACATCCTCATGATTCCCATGTGGGATAAAAATGCTTTTATACTCTGATACACCTAATAAACTTAAATGATGCACTGTATTTAGTTATATATGAAATTATTTTATAAGTAAAGGGCTACTGTACTGTATTTTCACATTTTATATTCTTTGAGTACTTGGTAAAGTATTAAATTATCATTGATCAATTTTTTAATACTAACTCATGAAATTCTACTAGTTAAGGATAGATTTAAATGAATATAAGACAATGATAAAATATCTTCACTGGAAATCAAGATTGTGAACTAATTCAAAAGTATGCCAAGGTTGCAGGTTTGATCCTCACTCTGGGCACATACAAGAATTGACCAATGAATGCATAAATAAGTAGAACATCAAATTGATATTTTTGTCTGTTTGTCTGTCTCTCCCCCTTTTCTCTATCTCAAAAAAATCAATAAATTAAAAAAAAGTATGATCTTACTTCTGCGAGTATCTTGTGAATATACTTTAGTCTTTCCTTTGTGGGTAGCAGCAGTGTACATCTTTTAAATAGTAAACCTGAGAAAGTTAAAAAAACACACACACCAAAAAAAGGTGACAATGCAATCAATTAAAAATATCTATAAAGCACAGCATAATGTTTCCTGAGAGTCAAGTATGGTATGGTATATGGTTTGTAAGAGAAAGTTTGGGGGCAAGGATGTAAACATTTCTGTGTTGATTACCAAGTGACTTTGATGTCTGCCTAAGAGGCACTGGCATAATATTTTATAAACTATTGTTAAATTGATACTATCGGACAGGTATGGAAAAATTTTATATTATTTAGATTTTAAAAGGTACAATGACAAGACATAAAGTACACTAGGGAAACTTTATATGTCTTTATTCCATAGAAAACATATTGTTCTGAACTGTTAATACAAAACATAGAAAGAATGGGAAGAGTTTTTGTATTCTTTTTGGAAAATAAAAAAAATTTTAAATCATAAGTCTTTAAAATTTCAGAGGTTTTAAGTCATTTTTGCTCACAGAAAAATATTGTTTGGATTACAATATTTTTCTCCCTTCAAATATAACCTTTTATGGGGTTTGCATGTTAAGAATGTATAGAATTTTGTGTTCAGACATTTAAAAAAGAAGAAAAAAACCCCTTTAATGTCCCAGTGAGATATGGAACTTCAACTACAGGGACAGGAAGTGAACAATTTGTTTCCTCTAACTTTAAATAGTCTGTTTTCCTAAAAAGGCAATACATTGTTAACATTCCTATGAGGGCAAATGTCTTCAAATTAAAAATAAGATATATAGCAGGAAAATATATACTCGCATATCATTACTTTCTTCAGTTTTCATCTTCTCTGCATTTACTTTTTAACATAATATAAATATTACTTTATATACTTCTGTAAAATATATGGGAACCTGATTTATTTTTAGAAGTTGTTATGTTTGGTAACACATGACCAGAATTAAGTTTTACACATAAACCCTCCCTATTTTTTGTACATAAAAAGACATTTTCAGTGTTTGGTTTTCAGGCTGAGTTCTTTTCCTTTCATGTTTTGGCATCCAGTCCCATGGCATGTCATAGCTGTGGAATTGTAAGCTATAATTGTATGTTGGTTGCCTTTTCTAATGTAAAACTACTATTTTTAAGGGTTGTAATTAACCATAAAAACCAATACTGGCTGACTTTTTTTTTTTTTTTTTAACAAAGGTGCTCTGCAATACCCTTTAGAGACCAACTTCTTTAATTTCTTTTTACTGAAATAGAGTCAGATGTAATGTTCTTTCCACACTGGCCATCTGCTCTGTTTTGTATGAAGAAGAAAATTAAAATTTATAATATTCAAAGAGCAGGATTCTGAAAATGTTATTTTAATGTCTGAAAATAAGAACAGATCAGACAGGAATAGCAACATGAGAAAATGGTAAGTTCATCAAACATTTACTTAAAGAATCAGTCATAAGCCAGGTGTCTGCATCAAAATTAAACATAAGATTGAAATCATTACATGAATAAAACTGTTTTAAAAAGCTAGCTATTAAGATCAATACACATTTGTATTCTTCTTAACTAGCTTATCCATATAATTGTCTCAGTTTTTTGTTTAAGCAACTGAGACTTGGTCAGGGAGAAGAATTCTTTCAGATCAAAACCAAAGCTCTTTTACCCAATCACATACCATTTCCTCTGCACCTAATGATGTTTGTAAAAGATATTTACAATAACAAGTAGCAAAAAAATAATTGCATATTCTGTTACAGACTTAGTACTAAGTTTAATAAAAAATAAAGCCAATAACATTATAATCAAATTATATACCTTTAATATAGTCTTATTAAATATACTTGTCAAATAAAGCTTTATATATTTATACATCTATATAGTCTTATTTTATTATCTAATGCTAGGCATCCTTGGGCTACTAAAAGGTAATATAGTTAATTTACTTTGTATGCCTTTATTTAATCTCAACACCACTTTGATATTAGGTTTTATTGTCATATTTTGTTTCATTACAAGGTGATTTCTAGTTTAATTGGTGTCATTAGTCAAGTCAAAATTAGAATTTTATTTCAGCACTTTTAGGGAGAATAAAATCAATAAATGGGGTGAAAGACAAATGAATACAAATCAAGGGAAAAAAGATCATAGAAATTTCCTTTGATAAGGTTAATTTAATCACAACATAATGATTTATTAGTAAATATGTACAGTGCTTGAAAAAACAACATTGTTTCTGATAAAAGAATAAGTGATCTTCCACAATAATGTGTTCAAGTTTCTACTTTAAGGACGAGATTATGGTTGAAAGGGAAAAGAGGTATCAAGATAAAACTCATTAGATCCTCAGAAAATAAAGCATAGAAAATATATCAATTTCCTAAACTGGTAAGCCACCTAGAAAATAAGCATAGGTGACATTTTATCCACATGAAATTACAAGGGATGACACTTTTTACATTAAGTGAATTCTCTCATCTTGAAACTTAAGTGTAAGGAACTGTTGTTAAGGGAAAGTCCTCACAATGAAGAGTAAAAGCGTCATAGAAATAGGCACATATTAGAAAATATTCCATTTCCCATGGGTCTTGCAGAATTGTATAATAAAATCCCCTTAATTAAGTATGGTTCTTTACTTGTTACAATTCTTATTATATAAATTACCTAGAGATCTGTAGTGTTCCAATATAGCAGAGTCTTGTCTCTGGCCAGGCAGCTCAAGGTTATGAAAGTCCTGCAGTAGAAGCCTTTTGCTTCCTGATGAGGTTGAGATATAATTAATAATGTGCTGGCTGAATGTTTTGGACACCATGCTTAGTATGCTGATATCCTTCACTACCAAAGGAAAAACATATACATATATATGAATGGCTTAAGTACAAGAACGTCGCTGTTAGTACTATGTAATAATTTGTTAGCTCATTAATAATATTAAATAATAGTAAAAATAAAGAGGAAAATCTAAAATTGTTTTAAATCCAGTGCTCAATACATTAGAAATATTTTGAGATGTAACAGCCACATTACCACGTCATTATAATGAGAATCATGCTTAAGGAGTTTTGAGTATTGTACTTTCTCATCGTATCCCGTACCTAACAACGATGAAGTTTTAGAAGATAAACTTAATGTGAACACTATTAATTTTAGCAGGGCCAAAGATGACAAACTAGTTCTTGGGAAAAATAAGAATATTTGAGTGTCTATGTAGCCTGCTCATGGTCCCCAAACCTCACCTGACAAATATCTTAAGATTATTTGGAATATTTCCAATGGCAAAGCTTTAAAATTTCCAAGCGCTGATAAGGGCTGAGAATCTGAATAAAGGGTGCTGGAAGCACAGCTGGATCGACGATTACTACGTCTATATTTCTGGTTGGGAATCAAAGTGAAACTGGTATTTATTCTAGATGCCATCCTTTTTCTTATCTTGTGAATTTATCCTGGTTAGAAAAACAAAGTACAAGAGACAGAAGAAAAAGAAAGACAGGAAATTATAGTGATGAAGAGTTGGTTTGTTGTTGTTTGTTTTTAATGAAGAGGTTGACATTTTCATGGGAAATAGCTGTGTCCCTATATTTACAAAACTTTTAATATGGTGCCCAATTTATGGAGTTCCCACCAGTAGTCTATTATTCACCTCAGGATGATAAGAAATATTTAAAAATATTTTCCCTTGGCCAAATATTCTAGATAGATTAAGAGTTTTGGTAGAAAATGAGGATGTATTTGGATAAAATATATTCTAAGAAAAGAAATAGGAAGAAATTTTAAAAAGATTTAACACAAAAGAAACCAATATAACAAATTCAACACATTCAGCATCTGTCAATTAGCATGTTGCTTTTACATTAAAAAAATAAAAATATTGATATAGCTTTAAAATTTTGTAGTAATATTTTTCTATTTCTTTAAAACTGAGCACTGACATCTTTTGTTAGAAACAATAAAAACAAAAAGATAAAAAAAATAGAGACTTTAAGTTTAGAGACTTTAAGCAGTGAAATTAAAGTCTTATAAAATTAAATAAGCCTCGAGTAAATAAATAAATAATTCCCCCTTAATTTCACCTTTGGTTAATAATAGTTACTGATAAATCCGGAAGGGCTTACAAAACTTGATTTCAAAATGAACATTTCTTAGGGAGAACTAATTAAAATCACTGATAATTTACTTATACTAACCAATAACTTTAAAAAAAAAAACCCTATTTCTTACACACAGTGACATTGTCATTATTGCCCCAATCCAGAAAACACTGTCCTTCATATATATATACATGGAACGTACATGTCCATGTGGATAACCACAACCCCAGTCTTAAGCTCCTTGTTTATGAAGTAACAAGTAAGATGTTTCATCACAGGAGTTACAAGTATATCTGACCAAAATGCATTTTCTCCTTTTGTCAGAAAATCGCTCAAATCACATTGTTACTTATCTGAAAAGGTTACATATCAACTTATACCAATTTAAAGTCAGTTACACATTTAAACACATGGCCCAGAAATTCAGTGCTTAGTGAAAAACATACAGTGAACCTCCTTTAAGACCATACATACCATAGCATTTTGCTTCAACATTAAATGGCCATTTAAATTAGTAGATATTTTAAAAATAATCATTGAAATTATACAAGTGACATGTGCTTTGTCAAAGGTTTACGATTTATGACAAAAGCAAAAGATTAAATTTGCTTCTAAACACTTCAGTTTATATCATTCCAGTATTTCACATTTATATTTATTTTTAACAAAAAAAAAAAAAAAAAAAGGGAGGGGAGAATCACTGTTAATAGTATTTTGTAATCTTTTCCAATTGTAATCAAAATTGTAATTTCTTTCACTGCTAATAGGTATACAAGTAATATATTTTCAGGGCTGCCTATCATTCCACCAAATGGAAGACTCTTCATTTATTTAATCCATAAGGTTGTTGGGTTTTTTGTCCTCACAGTAGGCATTTTAAAGCATTATCATTATTATAAAATCTGGCCCAGGATTGACTTCTCTGAGGAACTTGTAAAGAGGGACTTGGGCGGGCTCGTGGGCTCTTCAGAGATTCACTGGCAGCTGGTACCCAGGGGACTTCAGTGTGTCAACCACTGAAAAAGTCTATGTACTTGAAACCTCTGAGGGGGTTGAAACACAATGCCCAATCCTTTTAAACGAAGGTCTATTTCTACAATTTTATATTGTCCTCTCAGACCAGAATATTTTAGGGGAGACAGCAGGCTTTTTTGAAAAATTTAAAGGTGTAATCTCAAACTATCGGTTTCCTCTCACCCCTCTAGAGAACGAGAATCACAGACCGAAATAACAGAATTACAATGTTTTGAAGCCCCGGGTCCATCCCACTCGGTTTTGACTATTTGTGAAGGACTTCGAGCGCCCTCTTGGATAAACCTTTTCCCTCCCTTTCAGGAAAAAACCGTCCCACAGCAACTCACCGGGATTTCGATTTTGTTTGAACTTTAAGAAAACCCTGTGAAGAGACCCACCTCATCTGCTCGGGGATTAGCCCAGACATCGCCAAAGAGGTAACCCAGGGAAGCCATAAAAGAGAAACTGGCCAATAGGAGAATCAAACCACACTGGGATGCATTTTTTTACCCCTTCACTCCATCAAAAGTTTAAACTACCTCAAGAAAATATTGGGGAAACAAATCTCTTTTTACCACAGATTTTGACAGTTTTCCGGCTAAAGAATCACAGGAGGATGGGATCTAGTTGTTTTGCCCCACCATCCTCAAATTTCTTAATGTTAAAAAAAAAAAAAGAAAGAAAAAAAAAATCTCCTCAAGAGTTTCCCTCCGGGAAGAGAGAAGGTCCGGCTCTGCCACGTTCCGGAGTAGCGCTCCCGCCTCCCAGGAGCCCCAGTGGTCTCGAGAATGTTTTAGAATCCTCCCAGGAGCCCCAGCGGGGAGGAGGCCCCGCCCCCTCATGAATAATAAGACGCCCCAGCTCCCATACTGCCCTCCTCCATTATGAATAATTAACGAGATGAGGTCCTTGAAGCCGGAACCTAAGCCAAAAAGCCACCCTTTGCTCCAAACTGGACAGGAAGGGGTGGAGCCATTAGACTCGGGTGAGGGGAGGGTACAGAGGAAGAGCCGCAATTTAGCGAGTGATGTGTGCGCTCTGAATCACTTCCTGTTCTTCTGAACCTAGTTTTGAGTCAATTTTTTATTTCCCCTAACGCCACTCCAAGTTATAAGAGCTTTCATCAAAACGTGTGTTGGAAAAAAGCCTCCAAACATTCCTTTTGAAACCTATCTGGATGCCTCGATCAAAGGAAGATGAGGGCCTCCAGCCTTGTAAGATAGAGTCCAAGACAAACCTTTGCAGCTTGGCCCTTCTCTCTTGAAGATTAAGTTCTCATTAATTTATTCACTCATTCAGTAGCTATTTATTGAAGCTTGGTCTGCGCCAGTCACTGGGGTAGGTCCTAAGGATACAACAGAGAACAGGACATGTAAAGTTTCTTGCCTTAATGGAGCTTATTATTCTAATGGGAAAGATAGAATAAACAGACGAAATAAACTACAGATAAAGAGCAATGTTATGGAGGAAGTAAGGCAACAGAAAATAAGGTAAGGGCGGGCAGCTGTGCTTACTTTAAATAGGTCTGGAAGGTCCCTTGGAGGAGCCATTTAACTTGAATAATAGATGGGAAGGAGCGGGTCAGGATTAGGATTGGGGGGCAGCGCGGGGGGGGGGGGCGGTGCGGACAGCGGGAAAGATTTTGGTATGTGCAGTCAAGGAATTTGCAAGGCTGGCTGGCTAAGTTTATTAAGCAAGTAGGAGAGTTGCGTCATGGAAACCATAGAGAGGTAGGCACAGACAGCCTAAAAGAGGGGCACTTTAGAAGCCCTGTAGGCTCTATATACTTTTGTTTTGGGGGACCCACTCCACATTCTATTCAACAAAATACTAGGTATCCACATAGTACTCTGTTTTGAGAGACTAGTCAGCTGAATCACAAAAATTGCTAGCAAAAATAGTAAGGTAGATTCAAGTGATTTGCATAGGGCAGTTGGAAAAATACATACGAACAAAAAAAAAAATCAAAGGGTATGTAAAACTAGGGCTGTTACATAGAATCCCTAGGATGTAACATGGTGACAAGATTTCACCCAAAAATAGGCTTTGCAGGAGAATGGCAAGAAATTCTTCACTTTTCAGACAAGGACACCAAGGTCCAAGGAGTTAAGATCTTTCCTAGTGTTTTCAACTCCAGCATCTTGGCATAAAGCCAGTTTGAGTAATTACATTTAGGTCATGTCAAATTTTTCCTGAAAAAGTTCTGTATTAAAGAGTCTACTATGAAATAATATGTACAGTATTACACTATTTTAAGAGAAAAAATGTATATAGGAGCATATCAAATACTAGGAGGAATGACACTATTAATATGTCAGCCATAATTAATTTTGCAGGGCAATATTAAGGGGGATTTAAGTAAGTTTTTTCTTCTTTGTGAATTTCTGTGTTTTCCAAGTTGTCTGGAATGAGCCCATATTATCTGGTTTTTGTAAGGTTGTGTTAACCAATGAATGTATGGATAAGTACACAAAATGATCTTCTCTCTGTATCTCACTTTCCCCGAAATTCAATAAAAAAAATATTTAAAATAGGCACTATCGTATATTACTGTACCACAAATGAAGAGATGGAGGAGGGTTGGAAAGTAGTTTTGGATATTTTAAATGAGTATCATCATAAACTGAAAGATGGTAATAAATAAATGTACTCAAATGTTCAAGCCAGTTCATAGCTCTGTCTGGGAAATCATGAGGCAGAAGGAACAAATGGCACAACAGTTAGTGGGTATTACCTCCTTTCACAATCTTTTTTCAAAAGAAGTCCTCCCCCAAGATTAGTGTTTAGAATGGTGTGGGATCCTGATTTTATTAACCCTTAGACAGCATCAAGCTCTAGGTAGCTCTACAAGAAAACCCTGAGACAATATGGATTCAGATATGAAGGAAATGGCTATTGGTGTCTACCCTCTAAAGCCAGCTCAACCCCAACTGGCAATAAATTTAATCCTATATTTTATATTTTATGATGGAATTATTTGGGCTTCATTTTTAGCATTATGATGGAAACTCTGGAAAGTGGTTTTAATTGTTTTTAAAATTAAGGCCAATGAGTTACAGACTGGGAGCAAATACTTGCCAAATACATATGATAAAGAGCTATAATCTAAAATATACAAAGAACTCTTAAAACTCGACTATAAGAAAATGAACAAACAATGAGCAAAAGACCTGAACAGATACCTCACCAAAGAAGACATACAGATGGCAAATAAGCATATGAAAAGATGCTCCACATAATATGTCATCAGGGAATTGCAAATTTAAACAACAATGAGATCTCATTACGCGGCTATTAGAAGGGCCAAAATCCAAA